GGCTCACTGTTACCAACTTTACTTGAGAGTTAGAAGGTAGTGGGATCTAGTCTCATTCCACTCATTTCTGCATTTAATCTAACTGGACAGTTCTGGTCATACTAAGTGCATGCTGACCTGTCAGAGTTGCTGTCTTTCAAATGAGATATCAATCCAAGTCTATTTATTCAAGGAGCAAATGATCCACATCATTATTTGCAGTAAATAAATGTGCTGTTCAGGTGTTCTGACTGAAACTTGTCACTCAATAAACTACTTGAAGCCATCTTGAGGTGCAATGGTAGTGTCCCTGCCCCTGGACCGAGTGACCTGGGTTCAAGTCCCACCTGCTCCAGAGGTGTATAATAACATCTCTGAACAGGATGATTAGAAACACAAGTTAAATTAAAAGAAAACAGACTATTTGGGACCGTCTTGTGGTGCAATGGTAGTGTCCCTGCCCCTGGACCAAGAGGCCTGGGTTCAAGTCCCACTGGTGTACTGGACAGCAAAGAAGGCTACCTCAGAGTACAATGCGACCTTGATTAGATGGACCAATGGGCCGAGCAGTGGCAGATGGAGATTAATTTAAATAAATGAGAGCTGCTGCATTTTGGAAAGGCAAATCAGGGCAGGACTTATACACTTAACGGTAATGTCATGGAGAGTGTTGCTGAACAAAGAAACCTTGGAGTGCAGGTTCACGGTTCTTTGAAAAGTGGAGTCACAGGTAGAAGGATAGTGAAAAAGGCATTTAGTCTGTTTGCTTTTATTGGTCAGTGCATCAAGCATAGGAGTGGGAAGGTCATGTTGCAGCTGTACAGGCCGTTGGTTAAGCCACTTTTGGAATACTGCATGCAGTTCTGGTTTTCCTTGCTTTGGAAGGAGGGGTGAAACTTGAAAGGGTTCAGAAAAGACTTACAAGGATGTTGCTGGGATTGGAGGGTTTGGCCTATACGGACAGTCTGATGAATAGGCTGGTGCTATTTTCCCTGGAGCGCCAGAGGCTGAGGAGTGACCTTACAGACATTTATAAAATCAGGAGGGGCATGGATAGGGTGAATAGCCAAGGCTTTTTTTCTCCCCAGGTAGAGGAGTCCAAAACTAGAGCGCATAGGTTTAAAGTGAAGGGGGAAGATTTAAAGGAACCTAGGGGCAACATTTTCACACACAGGATGGTGTGCACATGGAATGAGCTGCCAGAGGAAGTGGTGGAGGCTGGTACAATTGGAACATTTAAAAGGCACCTGGATGGATATATGAATAGGATCTGGAAGGATATGGTCAAATGGGACTTGATTTATTTAGGATATCTGGTCGGCATGGACGAGTTGGACCAAAGCATCTGTTTACATGCTGTAACAGCTCTACGACTTTATGACTATACTTCAGAGGCATATGATAACATCTCTAAACAGGCTGATTAGAAAAATAGATTAATAAAAAGATTACTTGGTCACTTTTTTGGAGCCTTGCTGTGTGCAGACTTCCTGTCTCATTTCTCCACACTGTAGTAATGATTTGCACTTCAAAAACATTAAGCTGACCGTGAAGAACTCTGGGATGTCATGAAAGACACGAGCAAGTTCTTTTCTTACTTTAAAACTTTTGGCTTTATAGAAGAAAGCATCTCCTGAACATGTCAATGTGGACTGCACATATTTTGGAGTTTTAAAACTGACACAGTCACTAATAAATCCAAACAAAAAAATGAGGAGAAATGTCTTTGTTAAATTGTGTGAATGTGGAATGATAGGGAAAGGCAGGAGTATTTGAGGCTAATTGCAAAGGTAAAATTAAGGCTAGGCTAAATAAGTACACAAAGTTTGAAAAAAAATGCGAATTTACATGTGCATTTCACAAACACTGGGCATCTCAAAGAGCTTTATAGTTCAATGAGATACTTTCTGAAGTGTAGGAAACATGATAATATGATAACAAAATGTGATAATGACCAGATAATCAATTTTTGTAGCACTGAAGGATAAATATTAGCCAGGACACCAGGGAGATCTCCCTGCTCTTCTTTAAAATAGTGTCAATGAATCTTTTACATCCACCTGTCATAACCTGTCAAATTATTAGATTATCTTTCCTTATAAAATACATATCTTCAAAACAGATACAGATTCATACAAAAATGGTTCCTAGATATCACATGACTACTCTTCTAGTTTATCAGCTTGTATTGGAAACAGACTCTACTTATCTCAGGAAGAAATCACAAGAAATCTTTTAAATTCTATTAATGTCACCACAAAAACAGAAAACTCTTTGACAATGCTTTCTCTGGGGCCTTGAATAGCACTTCCTAGTTCACCACAACACGTCATGGCTAATGGCTAAGTTAATAATACCTTAACTAAAAGGCAGCGGATTGGGTCTGTACCCCTGCCCTCGGCACCTAAATACCCAATTAGAAAAACGATTCAACAGTTTTGGAATAGCAATTTTGATTTCCAAAGACAGGCTATGAGCAACATTTTTTTTGTTTGTTCATGAGATATGAACATTGTCGGGTATGTCAGCATTTATTGACCATCCCTAATTACCCTGAAGCTGAATAACGTGCTTGACCATTTTAGAAAGCAGTTAAGAGTCAACCACATTAATGCTGGTATGGAGTCACATGTAGGCCAGACTAAGCAAGAGTGATAGACTAATGCCCTTTTAGGAAAATCTATCAGTTGAGTTTTTACGACAATCAACAGTGGTTACATTTTGCCTTTAGGCTAGCTTTCTTAATTCCAGATTTTTGCTGAAATCAACTTTAACCACCTGCCATGATGGGATGTCAATCCATGTTCTCAGAATACCAGAGCCTGGGTTTCAGGATTATGAGTCACATGACATTACCACTAGGCAGATCTGAAAGACAATGGAGTGGATTCTCAAGCACAGGGAACACAGCGAGGAATGCATACAGGAATCAACCACCGTTCTGATGAACTAGTCCAGGCAATCTAAGTTCCATGACCACAGAGCTTGTGAGGAAGAAGAAACCTTCCATCTGTCCTCTCCAAATCCTACTGACCTGTTGAGTCCACCTGTACAGGCAACCACCAAGTATTTTACTACAGAAACTATCATAGCTGATGGATTCTAACTTCCAAGCTTTCAACCCCTTTATTTCAGAAAGAGAATCTTCAACCAAATTACAGGCCTGTAATGAGATTGCAAACTGATCTCACCTTCATTGTTAAAAACATCATTTATTCTTGTGCATTTATAAATTCTTCTGTGTTATTTATAATAATGCTGTCAATCTTAAATAACTTTGAGAACAGATGTATATTAAATTATCTTTTCTATATTGTTTAAAACATAAAGCTTTGGTGATAGTTTTTTTCAACTAAAATCTGCAAAACATACAAACGGCCTAAATGAGCCACAAACCTGTAATCCACAAACAACTGTTAAATCCCCAGGACCTGATCAGGTGTACCCTAGAACTCTGTGGGAAGCTAGGGAAAGAGATTACTGGGTCCCTTTCTGAGACAGTTGTATCAGCAATAGCCACAGATGAGGTGCCAGAAAACTAGAGGTTGGCTAACGTTGTGCCAGTATTTGAGAAAGGTGGTAAGAAAAAGCCAGGGAACTGTAGACCGGTAAGCCTTACATTGGTAGTGAGCAAGTTGATGGAGGGAATCCTGATGGACAGGATTTACATGTATTTGGAAAGATAAGGACTGATTAGGGATAGTCAACATGGCTTTGTGTGGGCGAAATCGTGTTGCACTAACTTCGTTGGGTTTTTTGAAGAAGTAACAAAGAGGACTGATGAGGGCAGAGCAGTGGATGTGATCAATATGGACTTCAGTAACGCATTCGAAAGGTTTCTCATGGTAGACTGGGTAATAAGGTTAGATCAAACGGAATATAGACAGAACTAGCCATATGGATAGAAAACTGGCTCAAAAGTAGAAAACATGGGGTGGTGGTGGAGGACTGCTTTTCAGACTGGAGATCTGTGATCAGCAGTGTGCCACAAGGATCGGTGCAAGGTCCATGGCTTTCTGTCATTTACATAAATGATTTGTATGTGGACATAGGAGGCATGGTTAGTAAGTTTGCAGATTACACCAAAATTGGAGGTGTAGTGGACAGTGAAGAAGGCTACCTCGGAATACTACAGGATCTTGATCAGACAGGCCAACAGGCCAGTGACAGATGGATTTAATTTAGATAAATGTGAGGAGCTGCATTTTTGAAAGGCAAATCAGGGCAGGATTTATACGCTTAATGGTAGGGTCCTGGGGGGTGTTGCTGAACAAAGACACCTTGGAGTGCAGGTTCATAGTTTCTTGACAGTGGAGTCGTAGGCAGATAGGATGGTGAAGAAGGTGTTTTGTATGCTTGCCTTTATTGGTTAGCGCATTGAGTATAGGAGTTGGGAGGTCATGTTGTGGCTGTACAGGACATTGGCTAGGCCACTTTCGGAGTAGTGTGTGCGATTCTGTTCTCCCTCCTATAGGAAAGTTGCTGTGAAACTAGAAAAGGTTCAGAAAAGATTTACAAGGATGTTGCCAGGATTGGAGGGTTTGAGCTATAGGGAGAGGCTGAATAGGCTGGGGCTATTTTCCCTGGAGCGTAGGAGGCTGAGGGGTGACCTTAAAGAGGTTTATAAAATCATGAGGGACACGGATAGGGTAAATAGACAAGGTATTTTCCCTGGAGCAGGGCAGTCCAAAACTAGAGGTTTAAAGCATAGGTTTAAAGTGAGAGGAAAAAGGTATAAAAGGGACCTATTTTCACGCAGAGAGTGGTGCACGTATGGAATGAGCTGCTGGAGGAAGAAGTGGTGGAGGTTGGTACGATTACAACATTTAAAAGGCATCTGGATGGGTACATGAATAGGAAGGGTTTAGAGGGATATGGGCCAAATGCTGGCAAATGGGACTAGATTACATTGGAGATCTGGTCGGCATAGTAGAGTAGGAACAAAGGGCCTGTTTCCGTGTGAAATATTTCCATGACTCTAACTGAGGTCATGCCTGGTGTGCTTTGGAGACACCTGAGCAAGCAGGTAGCACCGAGTTTATATCTTATCTAAATAATGGCACTTCCAAAAGTGCAATCCTCCCTCAACTGCACCGGCATGCTTCTCAGCCTTAACTGAAGGAGAAAGGAACAAATGGCAATGTTAAAGAGCTGGATTAAATAAAAAGGGAAGATGACTTTTGTGAGCATGTATCATTTCAATCAAATAGCCTGCTTCCATGCTACAAATTGTATACGTTCCTAAGATACAGCTCCATCAGAAGTGCAGCTTTTTGTTCTCATAATGTAGAGCTCTTGTCAAGTTCCAGAAGATCTCACGACACTGTGTGGGCAAATGCAAGAAACTTAAGTTGAAACTAACATTTTTATTGTTGCTAGGTAAATATCATTAACAAATCTGGAAAATGTGGAGGTTAATATTATAGTGGGTAAACAACTTGATTAAAACCATGTGTCAGATAGTGAAGGATATTACAAAAGCTTTCCACTGGAGGTGAACGGTGAATGATCATAACATCTGAAACTTCACAAAATTTAAACATAAAAATGCTTATTACAAAACCTGGGAGAAATGGTGACCATGAAATATCAAGAACAAATGACAAAATACTTAAAATGGAGCATATATTTAGGTGACATTGGCTTAATGCTGAACCGATGCAAGTGGAATACTAATATATTTCTATCAATTGCACTGATAACACAGCACATAATTTCTACACTGAACATATGAACAGGAATATCCATTCAACTCCTCAAACTAAATCTGCCATTCAGTTAGATTAAACTAGCTTTGAAATTTTCAATCATTTTACCTCAATAGTTTTTGGGGATGGGAGTTTCAGATTTCCACTGCCATCTGTGTGAAGGCAGACTACATTTACAATAGCACCTTTCAGCAACCAGGAATGTCTCAAAGCTCTTGCGATGTGAAATCTCTGTTGTAGTGTATGAAATAGGCAATTTTCAACAAGTTTCCACAAACTGTAATGCGTAAATCCAGACAATGTTTTTGTGATGTTTGTCGAAATATTAATATATTAGCCAGTACACCTGGAATAAACCCCCTGCTCTTCTGTGAAAGTGTTGCTGATCTGCACCTAACAGGGGGGGAATGGGATGTCGCTTAGTGCAGCATACACAAAATGCCATCTCCAACAGAACACCACTAGAGTACAAGCCTAGATTTTTGTTCTCAAGTCTCCGAGGTGAGATAGGAACTATCAACATTCTGACTTCAGAGTGAGTGTACAACTGAGCCACGGTTGGCATGCAAGACATGCTTTGTGATATAAACCCTGAATGGCCTAACTTTAAGGTATGCCACTTCATCCTGGATTCTCTCACCAGAGTACATAGTTAATGGATTTGATAGAGAAAAATAACTGTCTTAAATACCTTAATTAGATCACTCCTTAATACTCTATATCCAAGGACATTAAAAAAAAAAGTCTGTGCAACCTACTCTCATGATTTAACCCTTTTATCCCTGACATTATTCGGTTGAACCTGCACCTCACTTCCACCAATAATATTTCTTTCCTGAGGTGATGCCCAAACTGAATGGAGTTCAGGCAGAGATTTAAATAATCAAAGAAAAACTTACTATGCCAATTTCCATCAGTAATGATCAGATTCCATTAGCATTTTAAATTATTTTGCAAAGCTATACATTAGCTTGAGTGATTTTTGTATGGATCCTGAACCTCTACTCTCAATTCCTGGCTAATTGTCATTTAGAAACTTGTTTGATCCATCTTGGATCAAAAGGGATGATCACACATTGCCATGCACTAGGCTGCAATTGCCACAATTTTAGCCACTGAATGCTGCTTTACAACTATCTGTTCCTACCTACACTATATACTGTATCAACTAATTTAATGTCATCAGCAAACTTGGATTTATGACTGTATTCCTTCATCCAAGTCATCTAAACTGTAGAGAAGAGCCTATGCCCCAGTAGAGACTCCTGAGAGAACATCACTGACTGCACTGTTAATTGGAAAACATACACATTAATCCTGCTCTGTCTCCTACCACTAACCACATTCTTACACATGCCAATTAGCTGCCTCCAATTATACATCCTACCTTTTTTTCTGAGCAAGCCCTTATCTAGAACCTTATTACTGTTTTATAGAGGTAATATCCATCAACTGCCCCTTATCTAACAGTTAATGATTGCTTCAAAAACATTCAATTTCGTTCATTACATACAATGTATCATCTACACATCCATGCTGGCTCCCTCAGATCCAGTTCAGATGTCCAAGTGCTTAGTCACACTGCCAGTACGACGTTCCCCTACAACATACATTAGGCTCATAGGTATATAAGAATCAAAGGAGTTTACAGCATAGAAGAACATCATTCAGTCCATTCAGCCTATGCAGACTCTTTGAAGGACCAGTTGTGCTTATTTCCACCATTTATTTTTATCTGTCACCCTTCAAGTTCTTAATCTTTCAAGTGTCCATCTGACATTCTTTTAAAATGTTTAATAATGTCAGCATCCACTACACTGGGGCACTCCAAATTCTGCCAACTCAATGAAAATCTCTCATCAGCCCTTTATATTTGATGTTAATTATTTTAAATTTATGATCTTTCATTGATCTAGGTGTAGTGGAATGACATATCAAAGTGGTTCCAGAGAAGCAAACAATGGATGCACAAGGATGGCATAAGACAGTCATGTATGACATATCATGACAGTAGATCTCCTGGCAGGAGTAGCAACAAGCAGCAACAGCCACTTACCAGAGTGAATAGTTTTTCTCCTCCTTCAAAACCCAACAACTTGAAACTTAAGTTTTAGAAGCTACCTTTCTACTATGAAGGAAATTGAACTAGAAAATTGAAACCTTCTTAAATACTGGGATAGCAATGGCTCTCTGCATTCTCAACAATTATGCAATTAATGCAATACAATTTACAGAAAAGCTAAAAAAAAAGTTCTAACCTATTCGCAACTTAGCCAGGGTACCCAACTAAGTTTATTGTTATATATTAGACTTTGACAATATTATAAGGAGGAGTGACCCAAGCCTGCCATTCAGGAATAACTCCACAAAAATAAACTTCACCAGATGAAACATGTTTGACAGAACTTTTTCACATTTCATAACATTTTTCATATGGTTTGACTTTGTAGTTAAAGCTAATGTACAATCACAGGGAGAGGCATCTATTGAACCAAATTCAAACTGAAAGCAGATCAGAGAGCAAGCAAATTCACAACATCAATTAACTAAAAGTTGATGAAGCACTGAATGATGATGAAGCATAAAACCAATAGGTGGGTTGAAAATGGGAATGTCAAAAACACATTGTAATGTGCAATGCCAAAGTTATTCAAATTTGTCATGTTTGTACAAGGTGCTTTACTATTAGAAATAATTGACTGTTTTGTACAGCATTGTTCTTTACCAATTAGGTCAAGAACCCCACTCATTCACCACCTCAATGATCACCTTAATTATGGTGCACAGGTCTACATGGCATTATCTTAAAAAGAAACAAGGGGGGTCTCCCTAATGTGGCTGTTAATATTTGTCTCCCAACCAACATCATTAAAACACATCATCTAGTTTTACCACCTTGTGTATGCAAGATCTTGTTCTGTGTAAATTAGCTGCCCTGTTTCTTACAGTGCAATGGTAATTGTAGTTCAAATGCACTTCACCATCTGGGTAATTCTGAGGCTGTGAAAGCTGCTTTACAAATTCAAGCCTTCCTTTAAATTTATTGGACCACATAATTTTACTTATTTGCACAGGCAAGTACGAACAGTAATCCTTATAAAAATTTGATCGAATTCTTATGGCAGAAAGAATATGCAGCTTTTCTCAAATCAGATTATTGTTTAGTGCTTCATTGAAGAAATATATGACTCTCAAAACATGAATGTATCCTGATGGAGTTCATCACTTCAGCTTGCAGTAGCGATGCATTCTGAAATGGTGTCCACATGCGACATTTAAAACAAACTTTGTTTATAAATTACAAAAACCTCCGGAAATTGTACTTAAAAATTTAGGCAAACAACTGTACTAGTTTCCTTATCTACAATTACTTAAACTAACTAGAATCAGAAATTTGAAAGGAGCATCCATACATTAGCACTGTCTGCAGAAATTGTACAAACTAACCTTGTGGAGATTCAATGGTATTTGAAAAGAAAAATTGTTTTGATCAGCAAACATCAGATCCTTGATGACATGTTGGCACACTTTCAATCAGTTATGCATTAACAAAAAATCTGTACGGGATACTGAGAAACATCAGCACATGTCATTTTACATATTTTGTCTCTTTAAAGATCATCTAAATGAGAGTACATGCTGATTGAGGAGACAGGACAAGCTAAGCATCTCTGTTCTGACATGCTGCCCAGAGTCATTATTAGTCTAGTTGCTTAGCGATTTTCATTACCATCCAATACGCCTAAGAAGCTGGAAAAATAACCGTGGCACTTTAGATCATGGGAGCTCTACAACTGGGTGGGAGGATTATTTACTCGCTACTCTAGCATTATTTGTGGAGGAGAAAGATTGTCATGATGCTGAGGCATTCTATTAATGTAGACTGTTAATGTATAAATGATAAAGCTCGGGCAAAGCAAAAATACTGTAATTCATGTTTCAGATTACCTGCAGTGTGACCTATTTTCTAGGTAATATTTTGTTCAGTACAAGTAGGAAGTATACTAGAGTCAAAGTACTAGCATAAAAGAACTTGCAAACATTTTACAATGACGCACTGCACTGGAATGAAGAAACATTTCATTTCTTTAAACAACTATATCTCCCAAATTTAAATTTAAACCAGCTTGTACCTATTTCAATAGTAACAGTGTATTTATGTTGAGATGCAATCTTAAAAATAGATTAAGTTTTCACAATTCAAAATAGGCAGTAAACAGTAAGATTGAATGTATAGTATCACAATATAAATGTCATTTTATGTGACAGAATACAATAGTAAGTAATGGTCCAGGAAATAAAAATCGATACACAGCCGCACAATAGAAATGCAAATATTTTGTATGCTGTAAAAATACCATTTAAACCACACGAATTAATGCAAGCTCAAAAGAAAGTTAACTGTACCCAAAAAAGTAATTACTCTACACGTCACTGAGCTAAAATAAGGTGTTATGTTCATTTTTACACATTTATAAGACGCATTAACATTCTAATGTAGGACTGTAACTCACCCCCTCAGAACCGTTATATTGTGTAAACTCCAATACACAAGCGCACAGAAGATATAAATATTGACAGTCTGGATATATCCCTTACCAGTCGCAACTTTCTGCACTTGTCGGTCATCTGAGCACTTCAATTCTTGAAAGCAGCCGCCGTTCTCTGGGAACCTACAAACACAAAATCAGTCAAATGAAGAAAACAACAAAAAAATCTACGTCTTCCGCTAAACCTTCCCATGTTTCAGAGAGTAGCTCCTCTCCCGGGGCCGGGGGAAAAGAGTGAAGGATGGAGTGGGCCAGGCAGGCTCGGGATATCGGGGAGTCAGGAGCCATGGGTACGAGAGTGGGACAGCAGCAGCAGCGCCAGTCCCTCAGGCTGCTTGGGGAGCTCCTCTCTCCGTCAATCTCTCACTCAGATTTCCTTCACTAAATGGGCATCTGACGGGGTTCAACCTAAATCCGTTAGACAAACACAATGGGTAGATAGTGGTTTAAACTGTGAGATTTATTTACATTACTGAGACAATGACCGAGTTTTAGTCCCTGGAAGGGACAGGGAGTGAAGGATAAAAAGCTGGCAAGCTGATAAAAGTGAGAAGGGAGAGAGGAATTATAAAGTTAGAAACCTGGTATATCTTTCCCTCGTCCCTTGGCCGCTGCTTCCTACTTCCCTGAGGGCCACCATCTTCCTGTGTGCGCCGGTCAATCCCGTCCGGCCGGAATCTGGGGAGCGGGAAGATGGCGGCCCGGGCTGCTCCGTTCACACCTGCGGCTGCCCACTACCCCAGGACTCGGACAAACGCAGCAGAATATCGGCAGAGAACAAACCCCGACCGAATGGAGCAGCAAACCCGACGAAAAAGAAATTGACCAGAATGTAAAGAACCACGGCATGGAGCAAGAGAGAAGAATCTGAAAGGCATCATGCAGGGAATTAACGTGATAGAATAAGCATGGAATCTGACTGGAGAGAAGGCAGCAAACATCTTCGTGTAAGATATAGCCTGGTTGAAGGCAGGAAGTAGAATAACAGAAGAAAAATCAAAATGTTCAACTGATGCCCAATTGATTACAAAACAGGCCCCGATCGAATGTACGATATGGAGCAGGAGAATGTTTCTTGAGTCTGCTCTGCCATTAAATATAATTATGGCTGATCTACTGCCTCAAGTCTGCTTTCCTGTCCGCTTGCCATATCCCTTGATTCCCCCAGAGGCCAAAAATTTGACCATCTCATCTGCCCTGTGGAGTACGGAGTACAGAGTTCCGTCTGAGTTCTGAATTATCCACCCAATGTTCTGGATTCCCAACCAGCTAAAACATCATTTTCAGTGTCTACACTGTCAACCCCTAAAAAAATCTTGCATCATCACCCATCATTTTGCTGAACTCCAGAGAATATGACTCAGCTTTTCAACACGACCCTCTCATCACAGAAATCAATCTAGTGAATCTGCTTTACTGTCTCCAATCAAAGTTTATCCTTAAATATAGGAACCCAATCCAAATGTAATAAAAGATAAGGCCATTCAACCCATCGATGAGATCCTGGCTTATCTGATACCCTCAACTCTTGCCTTTTCCCCATAAACCTTGATTCCCTTACGAATTACAAATTTGCCTATCTCCGCCTTAGTGATTGTACCTCAACAACCACCTGTAGTAAAGAATTACACAGGTGCAACAGGTAATTAGGAAGGCTAATAGAATGTTAGCCCTTATTTCAAGGGGGCTGGAGTATAAGAGTAGGGAGGTCTTATTGCAACTGTACGAGATGTTGGTGAGACTACATTTGGAGTACTGTGAGTAGTTTTGGTCCCCTTATTTAAGGAAAGACAACATTTAATTGTTAGCAGTTCAGAGAAGGTTCACTAGGATGATCCCTGGTGTGGATGGATTGTCATATGAGCAAAAGATAAACAGATAAGGAGTCCACTCACTGGAGTTTAGAAGAGTGAGAGGTGATCTCATTGAAACATATACCATTCCTCAGGGCTTGACAAGGTAAATGCAGAAAGGATGTTTCCCCTTATGGCAATGTCTAGGAGCAGAGTGCATTGTCTCAAACTAAAGAGTTGCCAATTTAAGGCTGAGATGAGAAGAAATCTCTTCTCTCAGAGGGTTGCAAGTCTTTGGAACTTCTAGCCACAGAGAGCTGGAGGAGCAGAGTTCTTGAATGTATTTAAGGCTGAGATAGATAGGTTCCTGATCAGTAAGGGAATCAAAGGTTATGGGGAAAGAGTAGAAAAGTGGATGTGGGGAATATCAGATCAGCTATGATCCCATTGAATGGCAGAGTAGGTTTGAGGGGTGAAAGACCTATTCCTGTTCCTGTTTCATATAGTCTTGTACCCAAGTGTTACGAAATCAAAATTTGAAATTTTACGTATTTTAAAAAATACTTACAAAACTTATTACCAAAATGAATAGCTCATACATCTGTACATCATACTCCATCTGCTACCTTATTACCTATACATTTAATCTTTGCAGCCTCTTTATGTCCTCCTCCATACTTCTATTTCCACCTAATTTTATACTGTCAATGGCTTAAATATATTACTCTCGGTCTCCCTGTCCAAGTATTTAATGTAGACTGCAAGAAGCTGGTATCCCAGCACAGCACTTGTTACAGCCTGTCAACTTGAAATATCCTTATCCAATTCTCTATTTCCTCTCATTAACCAAGCATCTATTACTGCTAATATATGACTTCAGCTCAATGCCTGTGCATTTTGAATTTTGGAAACTGTAAAATATTGCATGTATTGATTCTTCTTTATCTGTATTACTAATTACTTCCTGAAAATGTCTTAATAAATTTGCCAACCACCATTTCCCTTTCATAAATTGTTTGATTCAACTATGATTTTTGAAGTGTATGATTAAGGTTTCCTTCATAATGGATTCCAGCAATTTTCCTACGACTTCTTTTTTCAAAAATATTCTTTATTCACGTTTTTGTAAAAGTACATTACAGGATCAAAAAGGTCTACAACACAGAAAAAGGTCCTTCATCCTGTGGAACGTGCGTCAGTCAAAAACAACCTTCTGAAGAAGGGTCCAGACCTGAAACGTCAGCTTTCCTGCTCCTCTGATGGTGCTTGGCCTGCTGTGTTGATCTAGCTCTATACCTTGTTATCTCACCTAATTATTCTAATCTTATTTTCCAGCACTTCTTCCCATAGCCATGTATGCCTTGACATTGCAAGTGTACACTTAAATAGTACAAAACCTTTTGACTTGGAAAATTACAGAAAATGGCAATAAAATTTAAGTTTTTGTCTTGGCTACCTCAATACAGTTATGATTCATGACAAGTAGGTCACGCTTAACAAAATTCATTGAATTTTTTTGAAGAGGTGACTAAAATAGTGGGCAGGGAAATGTCTATGAATGTTGTTTATCCAGAAGGCATTTGATAAAGTCCTACAAAACAGACTGTTAACTAACTTTCAAGTCCATCGAATTGAGGGCAAATTATTGACATGGCTGAGAAACTGGTTGAATGTCGGGTGACAGAAAGTAGGGATAATGGCTAGGTACTCAATTTAGCACAATGTGATCAATGGTGTCCCACAAGGTTTTGTGTTAGGGCCTCAATTATTCACATTTATTAACAACTTGAATAATGGCATAAAAAGTCATATCTCCAATTTTTTTGATGACACAAAGTTAGGTGGCATTGTACACTGTGGACAACTGCATAAAATTAAAATGAGATATTGAAAGACTAAGTGAATGAGGAAAATTGTGGCAATTGAGTTCAAATGTAAACAAGTTTGAGGTTATCCATTTTGGACCAATTCAGGATAGGTAAGGCTACTTTCTAGACAGTATGAAATTAGATACAATGGATTTCTAAAGAGACTAAGGGGTTAAGGTATATAGATCTTTCAAATGCCACAAACAGGTACGGAAAGTAGTCAAAAGGCTAATGAAATTCTGGTCTTTATGTCTAGAGGACAGGCGTATTCGGATACAGGAGTTATGCTGCAGCTATACAAAACCCAGATTAGACCCTACTTGGAGAACTGTGAGCAGATCTGGACACCATAACTTAGGAAGGACGTATTGGCCTTGGAGGGAGTAGAACATAGGTTTACAAGAATTATACTTGGATTTTAAGAGTTTCAGGAGAAATTATACAAATTAGACCTGTTTCCTCTAGAATTTAGAAGGTTAAGCCATAATTTGATCAAACTCTTCAAGATAATAGGAAAAGATAGTTTATCATTATCTACTCTATTTCCATTGGTTGAGGGTTCCCATGCTGATGTCTAATGTTTGCAACATTATAAGGCTTTTCTTTTAGTCTTTTACTATATTTCCAAGTAAAATGAATTTTTTTAATGGAATGTGTTTTTGTTGAGCACTTTATATATTTTTTAAATGTTTCTCACTTTCTTTACCCAATCGACAGTAGCCAATTCTCCCACTTTAAACTTTCTAATTGGCTTTGCTTAATTGCAAGGCTATTGTCACATTCAAACTTTATCACAGAGTATCTTTTACTATGGGATTTCTAATTAAATCTGTCTCATTGCACAATATTGTACTTAAATAGTTTTATCTCTAGTTGTTCTACAAAAGATTGAAATATTCCACGAAGCTCACAGAAACATTCTACAAATTCGTTTCCCAATCTTCACCAATTTGATTTGACCAGTGTAAATGAAAATGAAAATGAAAATAAACTATATCAATTCTTATATTGTGTTTGTTATAAGCTTCAACTACAGTATTCCTTGCTAATGATCTGTCCAACTGTATATCTACTGATATAGGGTCTATAAATGACTGTCATGTCATTTTTTGACCGTTCGTTTAGGAAACCTGGTTGGCATGGACAAGTTGGACCGAGAGACCTGTTTCCATGCTGCGTGACTCTATGACTTATTCTTAGCCTCTATCCATACTGATTCTACTTCCTGATTTCTGAACTAAGATTCTTTCTGAATATGGTCCTTTGCCATGAAGGTTACTTCTCTTCCTTCTCCATTTTGTCTTTTTAAAATGTTAAGAATGTTGGAATATTTCCTCCTGAACTTGATCACATTGTAATCATTGGCAGAGTTTTCCCTCACTTAAGCGCTTAGGCAATGGAAAGAAAGATGGGAAAGAACAGTGAGAATTTTAAAAATTGGAATCTCAAAGTCAAAAAAAATTCCAATTTTCCCCTTAAGGTTTAAACAGCAAGTTTAGAATCTAGCTATTAAGCAGCAATTATCTTGTTTCCATGCATTTGCATCTTATTACTAGTCAACTCACTTCATTTCTATGCAGCTCCTAATTCTCCTTTCCCAAGAAACTAAATGGCGCCAACATGAAATTCAGAGCAGTTATTTGGCAACAGCAACTCACAACTTGCTTCTCCAGATTTTCATCCAGCTCCATCATCACGATGATTTCCTTGTATGTGTGGACATCACCCTCTTTCAATTTTCATCTATGCAGAGCCATCAGCCTCATCATGCCAATGCTACAGTCAAGAAAGCACACCAACACCTCTACTTCCTCAGAAATCTCCGGAAATTTGGCATGTCCACAATAACTTACCAACTTTTATAGATGCACCATAGAAAGCATTCTATCTGGATGCATCACAACTTGGTAAGACAACTACTCTGCCCAAGATCTCAAGAAATTAGAGTTGTGAACGCAGCCCAGTACATCACGCAAACCAGGCTTCCTTCCACTGACTCCATCTACACTTCCCGCTGCTTTGAGAAAGCAGCCAACATAATCAAAGACCCCTCCCACTCTGGTTATACTCTCTTCCACCATCTTCCATTAGGCAGAAGATGCAAAAATTTGAAACACGTTTCAACAGATTCAAGAATACCTTCTTCCCTGCTGTTATCATACTTATGGAAAAACTTCTCATATGAGAGTTGATCTTTGCACCTTCTCTATAGCTGCAGCACTATATTCTGCATTCTGTTCTATTTCCATGATGTACTTATGTAAGGTATAATTTGTTTCACCAGCACGCAAAACTATACTTTTCACTGTATCTTGGTACATGTGACAATAATAAATCAAATCAAATCAGTGTCAAGGTTGACTTTGGACCAACTTGTACTGCACTTTAGCCCCTCAAAACTTCAAGTACATTTACCTACTGTGCTCCATTGACATGTCTAACATCCGATGTCTGACCTATTTTGTCACGCAGAACATTGTCATATATTCTGAAATAGACTGGCATTCTTTGTATTGACCCCCTCATAAACAGCTATTAAGTATTCTAATTTGCACTGTCAATACAGAGCTAGTCTGCATGGTTCCTGACATTTGCCTTGGACATGGCAGACAGGAAGACACCAGCACACCACTTAGTGGGCAGAGTCTTGGAGGTCCTGCTGAATAGGATGGTGATGACTTGCGACTTCCTCCTTCTGCAGGACCAGCAATGGAGGCCACAGCCAGACCAGATCAGCCCATTCCAAGGTTGCCATCCAGGTTAAAACATTCTTAGCTGTGTGGAGGAATGCCTACCATTGTAAGAAGAAGGTTAATGTCCTCTGTGCTCTGCCAGGTAAATTCCAATATCTCTCTGATAACTCCCACTCATTCTCTGTGCTGCTGTGCCCATCTCCCATCAAGGCTCGCGCTCTACCCCTCACTATTGCCTGCAACATCTTCCCCACTCGTTCTGAGTCAACCCAACTCCTGACACCTGCATGTCCTCTGTGCTGTATACTCACTCAGGACATATCTGCACCTACACAAATAGCAGTGCCACCCGCTTTCATCTCCTGGAATACGTGACTCTCGCTTATTCCAGGAGGAAAACTACCCATAATAGGGCAAAAACGCAAGAAAGTTGTGTGCTATCATTCAGCTCCACACCTTTTATGATGCAAGCATCCTGACTCTGAGCAGCCCAAGCAGGATCTGGACTGGTAAAGGAGACTGCCCTTAATTTACTGTGCCAGGAACCCCAGAGCAAAAGGATAGTCCCCTTGATGACTGATGCCTACTAACAACAATAATAAGCTTCCTATCTTGGTGTTTGTGCGAAATGGCACAGCAAGATAGAAGTAGTCTGAGCCTGATCTCTGTGCCTGAGGGGGCAAAGTGCAAAAAGGCAGGGGAATGCAATACCAGACAAGGAGGCTATGATTATCCAAGTTGGTTCAAAGTGAGTATCTGTTTTGAGAGCAAACGAACAGACCAGAGATACAGCCTGGTCCAGTCTTGAGCTGGATGCATGATCCTAAGTACTAATTGCCTTTGTGGCAGCATGAAAATGATAATTGCTGGTGTAGCCCAAGATGCATCAATGAAGTACAGAAGCATCCTTTAAGTGGATTGGAGATGTGCCATGATTATTGTTAAAGGCTGGCATATATTGGATATCCATGTCGGTGGATGTGGGGTGTGTGTGGCCAGTGTTCATCCAGATTGCTCCAAAAGGTTGATGCCTGGTTTTCAACATGGAGATCATTAGAGCAAGTGGTGAGCTGAATCTGACAAGTACTTGGTCTGATTTCCATGCTGAGGTTTCATGTTTTGTAATTTGTTGGAGAAGTTTGATAAGATTGAACCTTGTATATTAATGAGGTGAGTTGTATTGTCAACAAGGAGGTAACCATGCATTAGGCCCCATCAACTGGCAACTTGCTGCTGCCTGTCGAGAATCTTGCCATGTTGCATGAGTAAATGTAAAAGATCGAGCAAGATGATGTTGCATCAAGATTAACCTCACTGTGCTTCTAGTCAGATTCAGATGCCATGCATCTTGCCATAGCCCACATCACTCAGACCCTTAAAAGATTTTGCTCTTTGATTTTAAAGTCTGGCTAGGAGCAATTGCATTAATCATGTATCACTGATTCAGTAATACTGAATAGTCACTAGGCATCAAACTGCAATTCATTGGTAGGTCATTTTGTTTCCTAAGAATGAACATTAAATTCTATGGCCTCAGCAATCATGACAATTACACTGTTTGCACAAATTGCCAGTTTGTCATGTCAGATAAGCAAATATAATCAGAGGTTAACATAAAAGTTTCACCTGGGTTGCCATTTATAAATCACATTTCATACCTGACACTTGAAGACAACCCTTCAGCGCTGTCACACTTACTCACTGAACTGTAAGCAGGTAAGGACATGGTCTGTGATGTTCAAGACTGGCTTCTTTTGGGAGCCAGTGCTATCAAGATAGATTTACACCAGAAATTCACTCCTTCCAACGTAGCATGAGCATTTTCATTCTGCATGCCTTATTGAGGCATGTATCTGGAGGGTTTGCAAGGAGGCCATCGAACGTCATTTCCACA